GTCTAAGCCAGGTCCACAACCCTGTGCCCCCTACAAATTCCAGATGCCTTCGGGGGCTCACTTGTGCTAAGTAGTCACAGCAGTCGAGTGCAATGAAATTTTAGCTGCTGCCTCAGCTGGCGTTTCGAGTACAGCTACTAAGTCAAACCCACACGAAAAAAGCACGTGGAAAAATACTAAAAACTTTAGAAATTCTTATTCTAAGAAAACCCTTGCTTATAGCTGGAAAAAAGAAAGGTATTCAAAAATATTTAGTTTTACGATTTTGGAGAACATATGAATGAACTATGTTTAAAATATTTAATTCTTTAATTTATATTATTAATTTTTAGTGTAACTTTAAGTCCTAATGCATATAATTTCCTTAACATTTAGTCTGTGATACCTCTAAAATATGATTAAAAATTGTCAAAATGACAACTACATCTTTTATACTCAGAAAAAGCAAACAATATTTTTCTATCTGTACACACAGTGACACCATCCCCTACACACACTCACACACATGTCATAAACACACACCGAGTGGGAGAGGGAAAGATAGAGAGTGCTGAACAGCAGCTGCAGCTGCAGCAGCCATTTTTTATCATCATTTCCGGAACTCGTTGACAAACGGAAGCGACGAGCCGAGTGCAAAAGGGGTCGACGGTTGTACAGGGGCGGTGTGGCCAAGGGGAAGGGGCCCAAAGGGGGCCTGAAACACATTAAGCGAGCGGGAGGAAGCGGATATGACCGAAATAGCATAGCCATTGCTTATAATTTTACATTTGAAAACTACTCTTTGAACTACTTTCCCATGTAAGTATGCACTTACTTATACGACCATCGAACGAGAGATTATCCCCCAGAAATACCCTTTTGAGCCCTTCCAGTGGCCTTTCAGCTGGGGCACTTGGCTAAAGTTCAGCTAGAGGGATAAAAGGTAAATAGCCAAAAAATAAGTTTGAAGCTATATGGTAAAAAACATAGAACATTTCTTGGGAAATCACTCCGTATTACAAAATTGGAGCATTTATAAATACATGCAAGTACGGAGAGCTTAATATCAAACACTAAAAATCATCGCATACGCAAAATCCCAAATAAATAATTTGTCAAAATAATGTTTACTTGTGCCATCGACAATGGTAGCGAATAATCAAATACTTTAATGGCACATTATATACACATATATATTTTATGTCCACTATTAATGATAGCTAAATATATTTATATTCAATTCCTTGGCAAATACCGAACCCACATCATTCCGATAGTGACAACTTTTTATGCCTGAGCCACTGGCCATAAAAAAGTCATAAAACATCGATATCAATGAGCACATATTTGGCCATCCCTTCGAGGCACTCGAGTCGAAATCTCCGGCTAATTTCTTGGCCCAGGCAGCGCATTCGCCTGGTCAACCATCGACGCGCTCAACACTTGGCCAAGTCCCATCCCCGAACTCCGATTTCCCCCTTTCGGAGCCATTTCTTTTGGCTACTTTCCGCAGTAACTGCCATTTACTCCATATCAGCAAATCCGAGCCCATACCACTCCAAACACCACGCCCTGCTCGTTGGGCTCGTTCGACAGGGCTCACTCTTTACGTATGTACACTGTGAATTATCAGGAGATATTTTGGCAACAATACGTATTTTTTTATATTACAAGATATATATTTATGCTAATATGTAACAGAAAAATACTGTAAGTGCTGGGAAAATATGTTATTTGTGGGGAACTAACTGTCACTAATCATTAAAATAATACATTTTAAAGATTTACTTAAAGAAACCAATAAACATAATTCCTAGAAAATATTTAAAAGTATACAGCTGCATAGAAAGGATAATTTGGTTCATTTTCTCCATTTAACATTTATTTAAAACAGGCTGCATAAAATATTTTCTCGCGGTGCATTCGAAGTATGTGTGTATTTGTGTGGAGTGTTTTTTTCGCATTGACAGCAAATTCGAAATATATTTGCCCACTGGCCAACTGGTTTCCTTTCCTTTCCTTTCCAGCCACGTTTTACACCACATTTTCGGGCTTTCAACGGGCCGCTTGAGCTTGGAGCTCGGAATGTTTTTACTGCTGAATGGGTAATTTAGTATTTGGCAATTAGCTTTTGCTTTCGGCCCTCCAGCCAGAGGAGAGATTTTCCTTTCTCCGCTTCGGCTTCATTTTCCATTTTCACCATTCTTCTCAGAGTTTTTTCTAGCATTTTCCTGCCGTTCAATTGGCACATGCATTCTGCCGAGTCGTCGCTTCGTTCGGCTGTTTGTTTATCTGTTAAATTATGCAGTCGTCTATTAAGTGGCTGAGATTTATGTGACCACCACCAGCAGGAGTAAGGATATGCCCACGAATCGGCAAAATCCATTTAACATCTATGAGCCACCATCCAAAATCAATCTATTTCCCATGCAGAAGCTTAGCCCATTAAACTTTAAGTTGCTAAAAATTAATTAAGCTTTAATTTGTAATATCTAAATATCTATATTATAATGAAACAACCAATTGTTAGTATTCCTTCTGTTTTGGTATTGTTCTGTTTGTAATCTAACGTTTACGAATACCATACAAAAATCAAAGAAAAAATGTTTAATCAAGTTAAAGACTAGATTTTTAAAGTAAATAATTAAAATAAACATGTTTTAAATATTTTTTTAAAATCTTAAATAAATATTTGTTCAATCCGTGCACGAGTTCCACATTTAATTGGCATTGAACGTATTATTTAAGGAACCATTAAGCATAAATTTGTACTTTCTGGGCACATAATATCGCATATGATATAACAAGCAAAATACATAAATTCGAGGCGCCATTTAAACAAGTGGGTATACAAAATAATACGCACGTTCGCCTATCTACAATATACATAAAGTAATATGTGAAATTTGTTTTCCACTTTTGTCATTTGCAATTATTTTGCCATGTTGGCCCCGGCTTTGTACCGCTGTCATTTAATTTTGTTTACGCTTCATTAAATATTATTGAAATGCTGCAATTAATTGCGTAATTGTTATTTTATGTCGCAGCGCAACTGTTTGGGGCACTTTAAGCACTTGACACAACAGCCAGTGGCCAGTAACTGTTGCCCTTTGGCTTAATGCTTCCTTTCCCACCCCTCGCCCACTTTCCTCCGGGTTTTCCTTCGCATTTCCCACCGTTTTCATGTGAACTCATTGAGCGCCCCGAGGGCCATTTGCCGGCCAACAAATTGCACATTAAATTAAACACAAATAACTCGTAAAATTATAAAATTGTTGAATGTAAAAAACGTAAAGTGCAACAACTATGTAATTAGCTGCCAAATCAACAAGCGCGCAAATTATCAGTGAAAATAGTGCAAAAAAAAATTATAATGAAATGCCAGGAACCACAAAAAAAACAAACAAAAATGTAACACGCAAGGAAAGCAAACTGAAGAATACACGCAAATACCCTTTATGGATAAAGGGAATCGTTGGTGGGTCCATAAACATGTGTATGCCATTAAATTATGGTTTTTGGGAGTCTGCAAATATTTATTTTTACTTCTTGAACTATAAAGATTATATTGATCATTGCAATTAGTTTAGTGTGTTACTAAATAGACCAAGAATAAACATGTTCCTAAAATAATAGAACTTTTCTTTTCACATTCGTACCTACTCCAATAATATGAGTCAGTTACAGGGTGTCGGGAAAATAACTGGCGGTAATAACACACATAACTCGTCCATCGCATGCAATTTCGGAACAGTTTGAGGTTTTCGGTTGGACGTTGAACAATTGCCTGACATTTCACTTAGCCAACCTCAACACATTTCACTTTTTACATCCCTTTCGCTGTGAATTAGTCTAAGTTCGCTCACGCTGCTGGGCAAACAAAGGAAAAAATATAAATGTGCTGTATACAAAATGTGGCAGTAAATCAAAAGAAGAAATAAGGGGCGCAGTCCCCACCCGAAGCCATTTGTCAAGCGTCAACAAGAGCGCTGACAAGTGAGAAGCGGATGGGGTTGGCTTCCCTTCGGATAGGGGTTTGGTTTCCAACCCACCGAGGCCCAAAATACACTGGGGGAAAGGTAACGATGTGTTCCCTAACCGGTATTTGCTTACAGTATGCTCCGTCCGTTGAAGGAAGTTCAATATAACACTTAATAATACCAAGTACTAGAGGTGGGGAAACATCGATGTTTTCTTCACCTCTGCTAAGTACCCCTTCCAAGTGGTAAACAAGTATATAACTAAGCATAGCCCAATTATTGAGACATATAGTTCACTTGAATATCTCAAAGTATTATACGAAAATAATCTCAAAATAGTTTTAACAAATATTTTTACGTATATATTTTGACATTTCTCTTTTTTAAGTGCAGGGTTTGTCGGCCAAAACGATTTAATTTCATTATTAAACAATGGGCGACAAAGTGGCAGCAGATTTCATTTATGACCCGCCTGCTCACAACACGCGATGTATGTGCCCCAACCTCGGTCCTTAACCTCAATCTTATGCCAAGGGGCTGAAGTGACCTGCCCCAACTAGTTCTGCATTGAACTGGCCAACTCCAACTGGCCATCTAGCACGCAAGGCGAAAGGGGGCGGGGGGCGTGTGAGCGGTCAGGTCAACGTTGACGCATAGCCCAGGAACCAGATAATTAAGCATAATGACAGAAATATTATATAGCACTTGCAGCACTCGCTTGATAGATGACCCCATATGAAGTGGGCGACGTCGGGTGAGGGCTGACTGAAATATGGCGAGATGACACAGGAACAACCAATTTGGTGCCGACACTAATCAGATCAAAAGTGTTGGTTGGAGTGGGTGAACTAGGGTGGAAAGGACCCCTTGAGAATCTAAAGGTGAAGTAGTAAATGGTTAGGAGTACGGTTTACTTTGAAGATATTAATGTTTCTTATTTCATTTTTTAAATTTTCAGAAAATGGGTATTCGAAGTGGGAAAATTTAAACCTTTCCAAAACCAAAGACTCAAGGCAGGAACTAACCTTAAATTTCAAATCAAAGTGCCCGGAAGTCCCAAAAGTCATGAGCTACACGGAAATAAGTTTTATTTAGGTAGTTGTGAGTGCCAAGTGCTCCTTCCAACACATCTATTTTCTACGCTACCTGGAACCAAAAGTATTTTGTACTTTCCTAAGTTTTAACTGTGCAAACTTCGTGGTTCCAACTTCAATTCATCATGATAAGACTGCAGAACGTTTGTCAGTGGGGAAAGGGGAAAAACTCGTGCACTTCGTCGCGTCGCAAGATCCTCGCTTGGGTAAACGATAATCTCAACACAAGTTTCATGCGATTGGAGGACCTCTGCTCCGGGGTGCAATACTGCCAGATGCTTCACAAGCTCCGACCATCCGCCATCAACTTGAAGAAGGTCAGAGTAAACACGAGGGCCCAACATGAATATGTTCGCAATATGAAACTGCTGCAGAGGAGTCTTTTGAAACAAGGCATTGAGAAGCAAATCCCCATTCTTCGACTGGTTGCTCGGGGTTATCGCGAGACCCTGGAGTTTTCTCGGTGGTTCAAGGCCTTCTACGATCGCAACTATATCCTTCTTCAAGATGAAATTGCCCAGGACAAAAAGAATAGAGTACTAGTACTGAAGGATACCTCAATGGCAAAAAGGTCTGCAAAAAGAGTTAACAGTAAATTCGCCTTGTTACCATCTCAAGACGCCAGCTCTCAATATATTTCTCAAATTTCGTTTGGTACAAAGTACTCTAGAGAATATTCAAAGGATTTCAGGTCGCATGGGAAGTCATGGATGTGTTCAAAACGCAGATCACACTCAAACCATTCAAATTGGATGGAGAAAAATTCTTATGATCGTTATAAGTATTCAAGAGAAGGAACATATGTAAGCCCTTTAAATGCGAAGTGCACAATATGCGAGAAAGGACGAAGAACGGTAAAACATATTTGGAACCGTCGAAAAGAATCGGCTTTCTCACGTTTCCGTCAAAAAGAATTGTTCGGCTCGAGAAGGTCCACCCCAAACGTGAATTACTCACACCTGAGAAACCTTAACTCTTTTGGAATAGCACCCTGGGCCTATACCCTAATAGATCAGGCCGACAGGAACAAAAAGGGAACCAGGCTTATCCATTCGAAAGTAGGTAATGTTATGATTAAGTTAACGCCGGGAAAGTATCCAGTTTTCAACAAAATCTTTGACAAGAAATATAGAATTTTGAAGTCGGCCTTTGTCTGTGGTTGTTTTATCAAAAGAAGGTCTTATGCGAGAGCCAAACCACGAACAAGTATAGAAGAATTACATCCGATCGATTTACCAGATCAGCAAGAAAATCCTCAACCAGATCAACTTCGAAATTCAGAAACAATTTCCTCTCCGATGATCAAGGATTCCGCTACAGACCTTTTTACACAAATGTTGCTTTCGGATGGAAGTGTAGTTGATAATTTAAATGTAGATAAGGAAGACCTGCGAAAAGAAATCCAACTGACAGCCCTTTTAGAAATATCACCAAATCAAGAAGATAAATCCTGTCTAAGGAAGGACTCGCATGGAGCCCCTGATAAAGAGGAAATCGACTTGTGTTTGGAAATATTGGATAATCCATCTTCAATCGAGGCATATCCGTCGGACTTGGTTATTGGTTGCTCTTCTTATCCACCATTGATGTCTGATGTCATCAATTCCAAAGAAAATGTTAGAATTTTCAACCTTCAAAATGATCAGTCAGTAGTCCATTCACCAGTGCAATCCAAATGGGAATCTGCAAATATCACGAAAGAACGCAAACGTAATTGCCGAAGATACCGGAGTACAAATAGGTTTGCTATTCAAAAATTGTCAAAAAATATTCGAAAAGTGTTACGTTCACCACTCTCCGAACGCCTTCCTACACAATCTCAAGTTTTTGACAAACATCTGCAACTAGAAGTCCAAAGGTCAGTAGAAACTAAGCTGGAGGTAGAAAAAAAAATTTTGTCTGACATTGAACAATCATATTCAAATAGTGACAATCTTTCAACTATTCAAAAATCAGCAGTTGAATGCGAAACTTCGCCTGGGTCTACAAAAGAGAATTTCTCAACGTTCTTACCAATATGTGATGGCAGTTCCCTCTATGATTCAAGTAGCTCAAAAGCAAAAGAATACTTATTTGAGATGGTCGAGTTGATCGAGAGGTTTAGAAGTCATTTTATTGAGTACAGTAAAAGGTTACGGAACGACATAGATTCTGTTAAATTAGAGATAATATTCCTTAATGTTCAATACCAACAATCAAAACAGTTATATGACACACATAATTTTGGTTTTAACAAATCAGGTTCAACAGAAGACGAACTTGAACAGACTGAAGCTGCCGTTGTGGAATATGTTGAACCAGAAAAGAAATTTTCCAGTTCGATTTGGAATTTCCACTTCGAAAAGAGTGGACTCTTCAACGATCTTGATGGCAAGCCCATACGAAAACTTTGGGGTCAAAAATTTTGTAATAAAATATTTATAAAACACGCGTTTCGAGCGGCCTCTGGAGGCGTCCGGAAAACAAAACACATTATCAATGGTAAAACTAGGAAACTGGAATATTGGATCAGGCAGGGAATAATTGCAATATCGCCGATATCGATGCATGAGGACTTCAGTGCCGATAATAACCTTTCTACCGAGGAAGATATAGATGATGAAATCGCTTTGATAATGAAAAATGTCCGAAATAAGCTCGAAGAAGTCCAAAGAATCCGTAGAATGTGGTCTTCAAAGGGATTGGAAAACTAAGAATTTTGAAGTTCCCATTCACATAAATTATAATATGTTTAATTCCTGTTTTTAGATAGCTTTCGGCCATCGCGAACCCTAAATGTGAAATTTGCATAAAATCATCTTTAGTTGTACGGAAATAAATTTAAAAGTCCCACCCCCAAAGAGCTGTCATAAACTAAAATAACATTTGACCAACCGAAGATTTCCCCAGTTGTTTTAGCCGCAGTTGAGTTGCGTCGAGTTCAAATTCGCCTACACTTGTTGGTAATTGCTGTGAAGTGAAGTGTCTGGTTTTGGTTTCGGTGCCTCCTTCTGTCACTCGTCCATTCAGTCGGTGAGTCAGTCAGTCAGTTAGTCATTCAGTCAGTCAAACAACCAACGCAACCGCATTCATTTGCCAAATTAATGGCATTTCATTTGGGGCTGCTGCCGCCTCGGCTCGATTTCATTCATGCCAGGATGTTGTCCTCATCGTTGTCCTTTTCGTTGTTGCTGTCGTTGTCGTTGTCTGTCCTGAATTTACGTGTCTGGTTTGGCCGCTTCTGGCGAAAAGATACTGCTCCTAAACCAACTATACATACGGAGAAATGTCACCAGAAAACAGTGGCATTTGAGTAATACTCATATTAGCTTAAAAACTATTTGAAATGGCCGTCTTAATCTTAAAACAAATATATCATTGTAAGATTCGCCATTCTTTCCATTGATTTGTTGTCCATAAAACTCCTAAAAAATGATTATAAGAAACTAAAAAGAAAAGAAGCTCTAAATAATAATGTTTTAATAAATTATTGAATGAAAAATAACGAATGCTATTATTATTAAGTAAGTTGATTCACCAATTTTCGCCGTGTACCAGCTCCTTTCTTCAAAAAGCCGCTTCTTTTTGCCAACTGGCGGCTAGCCAGGAAAACTCCTTTCTCTGGATTTCCCCGAGGGTCAGGGGGTTGGTGGGCTGATTGGGGGGTGGTGCATTTCCAGGCGAACGATTTTGGCAGCCAGTTGTTTGTCAGCGGCGTGCGATTATTCAAAAGTGCAACATGCAAATTTATTTTGTGCATAAAACGTTATGAGCTCGCATGAAAATGTCTGACAACAATTGGGACTGGCAATCGCTGTCACTCCGCCCAAAAACTTGTTGGCTGCGGGATTAACCCCTCTTTGGATGGAGTCCTCTTTTGACACCTCGTCAGTATATGGCATCAAGAACTTAATTACAAGTACCACACGAGAATTGGAGCTAATTGAAATAAATAAAGTACACCACAAATAATGTTGGGTATAATAGATAACTAAAGAAAATAAATAATGTCGAAATAAAAAATATTTTCTTAACTAGATGTTTGGAGTTTTTGATATTAAAAGTTGTTCTTTTATGGCCATCTCCTTTCGAAGCAATTTCGTTAACTTGGTTACTGTGCCTATCCCTAAATTATAAATCATTCCCAAGGGGTTAGGCTTTTCAAGCCACAAACTGACTCGTTGAGGTGTTTTGGCCTCTTCTACTGTTTTGTGGCACAACTCGTATCTTAATTGGATGTTGCAAAGTGCCGAGTGGGTTTACCACTTCTTCTCTGATTGTTTCCATCCATTATGCCACTCCGCACTCGGCGACATTGAATTGATTTCAACCGCTGCCGCATTTCAATTAATATGTATATTGCACAGGCGGATATATATTGCCACCATATTCATTTCCCGACTGGCGGGAAAAGCCGCCAGTGATTTGCACTTTTCCAGCTCATTAAAATCGCATAATTTGTTAAATATTTACGAGTTTGTTAAGCGCGTCCCGGCCGCTGGATCCGCTTTATATTTTTCGCAGCGGCTTCATTTACCTAATAAAATTACTGTCAATTAACGCCCGGTATCGCGCATACCTACGTTTTCCAGTCGCCAACCTTTTGCGCCTCGAGCATCTCGGAACCCTATTCTGGGTGGATTATTATTTACTTTGAGGGTTCAGGTACACCATGAGCAGCACGGTCAATAAATTATGTAAACGGCTTAAGCTTCTGGCCATTTTTTCTAAGCCCTGCGCATAAATTACAAGCTGACAGTTCTCAGCCTTAAAATTATGAATTTCTGAAAATTAGATTTTACAGACATTACAGAAGAAATGCTCTTTATTTTAACAGACTATATAAAATATTTAGTTGGTAAATTAAATTACAATCCGTTGGCTTATTTCTTTATCCACAGATCGTATAAGAAAAATTAGGGTCTTTTCAAACATATTTTTAAAATTTCAATAGTTGGAGTTGTAAGTGGGTTGGAGATATAATTTCTTGTTGTTTTGTTAACAATCTTGTATAAAACTAAAATACACATTTTTGAAAATAGGCATAAAAGCTTTTCTGCGAAAGTCAGATAGTTTTGCATAGATAGATACAAAATGATTTATTTAAAGAATATTTCATGTGTATTTAACATTATAATACAAATTTTACAGACAATTTCTATTGTACCTTGCCTGATTTTTTAAGAAGCTTTTACCCAACCAAGAAGAAATGGCCTGTGAGGGGATAGATATAGATGACGCCATATGATTTTCCTCCCTGAGACTTTTTCTATCCTTAAACTTCCGCAGGCCAAATGATCCAGTACATTCAAAGTTGTCATTGATGGTTTCCAACCACCCATCAATTAACTGTCCGTTGCATAGGGCAAATGCTCCTGGCGCCTCCTTATTTCTCTTTCGTTTGTAGACAAGGCGTTCACTTCTGTTATGGGCATTCTCGTCAAATGAAAATGGGGAACATTTTGTGGAAGGTTCTCTCCATAGTATTATTTCACTTCCTTCGCGTTCCCTGAACTCCGAAATTATGAAGGCAGCATTATTTCTCTTTACTTCAAACCTCATCTCTACGGACTTTATGTTCACAAGACGATCAACAACTGAGGATGATTTGCTAATTGCATATAAACTGTGGCAAAGGAGTCCTAATACCCCGCTATGATCTTCGAATTCACAGTCTAAACATATATTTGCAGCTTCAAGTTGAAAGTGTTCCAATCGTCTATATCCCAGGAGGTTTTCGTTGACTTCGCAATTGGCGGACAACCATCCGGTTGGAAATGGATCCCAGTCAAAGTTCTTGGTGTCCTCGGTGACCTTGGCCTGTTGCTTTACATACTCTGAGGTTATATATGGGGATATGTAGCACTCGTAGGCGTTGTGATTCGCCGCTGTGGGTATCCCGAAAGTTCCGGATCGACAGGGTATTGGGCCCTCAATCGCCTTCTGGGGAACTGCTGCATCCGGCCAGTTCCAGTGTACTTCTTGGCCACATACCGTCTTTTGGGCACCGATCCCAACGATGTACTCATAAATAGGCAATGGGATTTTCCAAGAAAAAGATGGCAAATAACCAAGATCATGAAAACCAGGAACCTGGCACCTTTTCGCTTGCAACATGTGGACTAACAAGGCTTCAGTCATTGCGTGCTGAAAGACGCAGAAGGGTAACTGCCTCCGGAGATAACAGAAATCCCTTTCCATGAAATGGTATACTTCGCGAACTAGCGGTATAAAGCCCGCAAAGTCAAAGTTTTGACCACACATGTAAGTAGGTTGGCTCCCCATTTAGTATACTACTTCGTTTTATATTCAGAAACAACCAAAGACAGCTGATCAGTATGTCCGTCGTTTGACTTTTGAAATATACATAGCATAGAAATTCTGGTACCCTCAACATTTAGTATATTGGTATATTGCTTGGTATATTTTTGGCTTGTGGTAGAATAATTATAATCCAGGGATGATTGAAATTCGTTAAATTTAAATTTGTCCTTCAAAAATATATTCTAATCTTGAAATATTACTTTTTATTATTTTTTAAACTTTTAGTTCAATAATACTATAGAATACTATTTATTCAATGACGCTTTATTTATTTCTTTTATATTTGCTGAATATGTCACTTACATAAATTGAATGACTTTACAAAGATTCTGCCTCAATTGCAACGATCCACAAAAGTGAAATTAATTTTTTCGCTGACGCAGTGAAAAAAGTTTGGGAAATTTAACAAAAAAATGCAGTATAGTCAAAGAAAAAGCTGAGATTCGTAAAAAAGAAAAACCATAGGCAAACAGCCAACTTTTAACACACAAAATTTCAACCGGAGAAAACATAAAACTGATGGATTTACGAACAGAAGAAACCATTTTCCAAGTGGGAACCTCAGTGGTTTGGATGCTGTCTAAGAGCATGCCACCAAATAATAATAGTTTTTCACTTGTTCAGTTTGACCGCCAGCAGCCAAGCGCCGAGTTTATGTGACAAACGTGACTCAAGCGACAATTGCTCGGCTTTTCGCCCGGGAAAATCCGGGAAATCGGGGTCGGGAGTGTGGAAATTCCGGGGGCAAGGGGGATCTGCCTTTTTTATGGCCACACAATAAAGCGAGCAATTGAGCGTCTTAAAGTGTCGCCCAAGTGCATTTAAATCACACACTTTGCGACCATTTGCCGTAATTTGACTTTAAATGTTATGGCCAAGAGTTGATTCGCCCTCGTCGTCACTCCCTCCGCCCACTTTGCCCACCCACTCCAGCACCCCCTCCCCTGCTTAGTTTTCTAGCCAAAAGACCTTGAGCTGTGCTCCATTTTATGGCCAATGTCTGGTGCCCACAAGAAATAAGAAAAACATAAATTTGATGTACATGTCGATTATGTGCCAAAAATGAGCAAAGACCAGAAATTTCACGGTGCGTAGAAGTCCTTAGTCAACTTTCTCGACCTTGGATATCAAGTAAAATATTGAAAATGAGTCATGCGACTTACAACATTGACTTCATTTCGGGTAAAGCCTGAACTAATTTAATTGGCCAGTTTAAAAACAAATTGTATATCACTGACTGAAAACGTTCTATGGTGTTATTTAGAGGATTATTCTACTGAGCTTATGTTGTTTAAATGTGTCTTAGAAACAAGATTAAATCTCTTGGAAACGGTAGAAAGCAAATCACCCTTACACAAAAATCAACAAACTTCACCTCACAACTTGTGTATTCCTTAAAGCTTAATCATTTAAATTTAAAAACACTCGTTGTCTGGCAAACGCCAACGAATTTCCATAAAATGGATTTGTTACTTCAAGCAACAGCAAAAAACGATGCAATTTAAATAATTTGCAGGTTTTTTGTTTACCGATTTCAGAATCCATATGAATTACATATTGCAATCGCGGGCTTAATATGCTAGTTATAAAGGCTCCCAGCACCACCAAGTGGCTCGAAAAAACATGCAGTGCCAGGGATATGTGGGAAAAAATTGAAACTCAAGCTTGGATGAATAAAAATATTTAACAAAAAAATAGAACGAAAATATGTGTGCTGTGAGTGGATGGTTTGGCAAAAATGTAAATGAATATAATGGAAATGCCTGAAAAACAGGACCGAGTTGAGAGGTGCTAAATATTATTTCCGAGGACCCTAGCTGAGTTTTTTTCATGTAATTATTGGAATCCAGTTTTCTGTGGTTTTTTAAATGGGACAGATAGGTGGTGTCGCAATCAAGTTGCTTAATTGGCAAGTTCTCAACAGTCGAAACGGATTTTATTTTCACAATGATGCCAGTTTTTTAGTTGTGACAGCTGTCCCTTCTATATTGTTTTTATCAATAACTGTTTTTTACAATGCATACATATAAAAGTGTCTAAGGACATGTGTTATATACATGTGTTATGTGTTACTGCATACTTCTACACACCTTTCTTACACCTCTGCTTATGTCTTGACAGTCCAAATGAAGTTATTCCTCCATCCATGAACAGACATTCAATGTTCTTTGAAAATCGCAGAGGAAAAGTTCCTCAGAAGTTCCTTTATAGTTCAATTAATTTTTTTACTGCCAATAAAATAATGTTCACTTCCATAGACGGCCATCAAGATAATGCGGCACTCGATCTATGGCTAATTTGCGTGCCTTTTAAAGGCGGTGGAAAATGGCGGCGGAAAAGCGCGAAGTCTCGGTTGCAGGATGCCACCGCTTAAGTGCCTCTGCCAGAGTCATAACAATACACCATACAGCAACAAAAGCCGCCGCTGACATGCCGCTTATTATTTATGTATTTTAATAACAGCCGGACGACGACGTCGCGACAGAGCTAGAAAGAGACGGCCGCAGCCGGAGCGAAGCCCGGCCATTGCAAAATGAAGTACAATGGCCGACGGGCTACAAAATGGACATTGGTTAATGCGACAGCTGTTGGGGAGATCGCGAAAAATCCAGCACAGCGAAAAAAATGGGGAGGCAAAGTTGTGGCTGCTGCTGCCTGTTAAAAACAATCAACATACTTATATATATATTCGCCACAGCCCTCTTGGCGTATACTTAATGCCAGGCGAGACTTGAACTTTAAACCGAAGTTGCAACTTAATTGAAATGTTATCCACAGATTCTATGGGTATTTTATATATATATTATATATTTTAAGCCCTATTAAAATGTGCACTGCAAAAGGTTTCAAGGTGCCCGAATACCCAGTAATTTATATCAATAGAACAAAATTTAAAATTGTGACGAACATTTTAATTTATAATTTTATTTTAATAACTAAATAGCAACAAATAGTTTAAATGAACATAAAATTAAATGGAGAATATTGCATTTGAAAGGTGTTGAGACCAAAAATTAAATTAAATATTAATCAGCATTTATTGGCATCCTTTAGGATGGCAAACTACCTCCAGCTACGCGGTACTTTTCCTCCGTGTGGACTCTTCCGTTGCATAATTAATGCTCTGTGTTTTAAATTTACATTTACAATGCCGTTACAACGATGTTCACTGATGTTGATGCGCATTAAGTGTGCGTGAGTATCTGTGTGTGGCAGGGCAGGTGAAACCACAATCAGGCGCACATAAATACCAGTCGCATATACATATACCCACAGCCATCCACATAAGTATAAGTAGCAGCAGTTCTGTAAGTCGCTCTCACAACCCAACGAACCCAAGCTGAAAGGCTTAATGAAATTATCATTTTCATTTCATTCCAGCCCCTTTGTCTTGCGGCCATGTGAAATTGCCAGAAAATTGACAGCAATTTTAAGCCGGCCAAGAACACGTCGTAAAACCAACTATTGTATTCAAAATTAAAAGAAAACCCCCAGTTAGTAGGTGGAGTGAAAGGGAAAGTAAGTCATTGTCAATTGCAAGGACATCCAAAATCTTTTTTTCTGATTATTAATACCAGACTACATACCAAAAACTGTTTAAATCGGACCAATCGATAAAAAGTTATAAGCAAATAAAGTGTGCAATCTCGGAAACAGCAAATTTTCTGCATGCATATCTCCATCTCCCTCGCACTCCATTTGACTGAATAACGGGTATCTAATAGTAGAGACCGTCGTCTTGTTTAATGTGTCTGCTTAACCTAAAGTAAAGTAAGATTAACTTGTACTAAGATTCTCGAATAAATATCCATTTTTACAGAGCAAATATTATCTCAGTGTAGGCAACGATTTTTCTCATTTCTCCTTGCTCTAATATATAGTTTTTTGCAACCATCTCAGTGTCAGCAGATGCTGTGGAAAATAAATGAGCAACATACGCACAATATTCAGTTGCTCATTGTGTGCCACGCCCCCCTTGGCACCAGCCACCCACCGCCCCTCTCATTAACATCCCGCAGTTGCAGCAGCTGAGCGAAAAAAAAATAAAAAAGGAAGGAAAATGCATAGAAATTACGCATACGCAGCGTGCGCCGTAGTTGAAGTTGCTTGCTGCCGTTGCAGTTGTTCTTGTTGCTTTGCGTTGTTATTGTTGTTGCTGCAAATGCTACAGTTGCACCTTGTTGTTGGTGTTGTACCTTAAGTATTTGTTATTGCTGTTGCTTTTGGGCGTTTTTAATGAGCATGGGCAACAAGCGGCAGCAGTTCGCAAATTTCTTTTGCCATAGTCGATATTCATGCATAAACATTCACAGCTGCCTATGTGTGTGCAAAGCATAGATGTGTGTGTGTGTGCAGGGTTACCGGTTGCACAGCAAAAAATATATGTATTAGTATTGAAAAATGGTGGTACAGGTCTTGCGACTTATGAGCTCATAATAAATTTAAAAACTTTGTAAAAAGTTTTCGAGAATCAAAGACTCTAGATTCAAAATATGCCTAAAAGTATGCTGTGAAACATATCACTCAGCACTTCTCGTCATATATCATAGCATACTTTTAGACACCCTTTCAAGAGGTTTCAAACCCTTAGAGATTTTATTTTCAATTGTTTTGGAACTATTTTTGGAATTTCGTGTTTTCTAATCCACTGAAAACAGACATTAGCTTAAATCAAAGCACTTCCCTCAGTGTTTCTTCTGGCGTTGCCATAACATTAATTTTGTTAATTAAAAGTTTCTCACAGCTTTAAAGTTTACTGCCATCTGCTGGCTGTTGTTGCGGCCGATGTTACTGTCAGTCAGTGGCCTTGTAACACTCTCCTATGCATGTGAGCCACACCCACACATGACCAGGCCTCACACACACACCGACAGAGACACAGACAGCCATAGACACATATTCACACAGACACCTGTCCTAGAATCCAGACTTTGATTTGTTTGCCCGGGCCAAAGGCAACTTTTACTGGCAAAACGTGTCATAGTTGTTTCTATTGTTATGATTATCAAGCGAAACGA